AACAACAACAACAACAACAGAGCTGCAGTCAGAGGGAGGGATAAATGAGGGGGTGAGTGAATGAATGAAAGAGTGAAGGAGTAGATGAATGAAGGAGGCAGTAACCAAGAGAGAGCGCAATAATGAATGAGTAAAATTAGAAAGTCTCTTGGACGGAGTTTAGTCCCACACTCCCATTTCGCAGATGGGAGACCGAGGAGTAGATGGAGAGTGGGAGGAGGCCAAGGCTTCCAGGAGGGACAGGTCCAGCCCCCTCTGACCCAGCCCCTGTGTCTCTGTTGCAGCCCCGAGCCATGATGAAGACCTTGTCCAGCGGCAACTGCACGCTCAGCGTGCCCGCCAAGAACTCATACCGCATGGTGGTGCTGGGCGCCTCCCGGGTGGGCAAGAGCTCCATCGTCTCCCGCTTCCTCAATGGCCGCTTCGAGGACCAGTACACACCCACCATCGAGGACTTCCACCGCAAGGTGTACAACATCCGAGGGGACATGTATCAGCTGGACATCCTGGACACCTCTGGCAACCACCCCTTCCCCGCCATGCGCAGGCTCTCCATCCTCACAGGTGAGGCCCACGCTGGGCTGGGCGGGATGGTACGGTGGCAGCGCTGTGGGCACTGGGCGTGCGGGCACAGTCTGCGAGGCGCCCGCACAGCCATCGTCTCAGATAAACGCAGGAAGGGTGGCTGCTTGCCCAAGCCAGGCTTGGAGCCAGGCCCACGCGCCCTCCTGTTTGGCTCTAGAGCGATGACTCTGTACAGTGGTGCTATCTTCCCGGTCAGGGATGCCCGGCTTTCCAGGGAACAGATTGGTGTGGAGGATGCTGGCTTCCTTTTCCAGGAACTGAGCTCCTCCTGGAGCCCATGGCCCACTGCTGGCTGGACCCTTCTCTGGACTCAAGTCTCTGACCCCAGGGCCTTTGCCTCCTCCAAGCAGATGTGTTGTTGTGAGGTGCCATTGAGTCGAGCACATCTCATAGCGACCCTATGAACAACAGATCTGAACTCTGTTCTATCCTGCGCCATCCTTACACACAAGAGCCCATTGCAGCAGTCACCATGTCAGTCTGCCTGGTTGAGGATTTTTCTCCCCTTCACTGACCCTCCACCCTTCCCAGCATCATGCCCCCCTCTAAGGGATAGCCCCTCCTAGCAACATGCCCAAAGTATGTGAGGCAAAGCCTCATCATTCTTGCCTCCAAAGAGCACTCCGGCTGCACCCTCTCCAAGACAGATCTGAGAAAAAGTACTCTCTCCAAATAGGAGCTTGGTTCTAACAGTCATTGTTTGGTGTTGCTAGGTACCATCAAGTCAGAGCTGACTCATAACTGACTCACTCCTCAGTGGATTTTCAGAGGCAGTAAATCACATGGGAGGAGACGGTCATGTTTCTTCTGCTGTGCAGCTGATGGATTTGAACCACATGCCTCTGGGTCGGCAGTGCAACTCCTTACTGCCAAGCTATCAGAGCTCCCTATACCAGTAATGGTGCCGCTAGTAGCTGACAGTTACAAAGAACTTAACCTGGCCCATTCTTAGCACTTGACGTATATTTACCTAGGAGGTATGTATGTAAGCCACTTGACTCCAACTCATGTGATCCCTTATACATCAGAGTAGAACTCTGGTCCTAGGTTTCCAGGACTGGTTTTTGTAAATACGGTTGCCAGACCTTTCTTCTGTGGTGCCTCTGGGTGGACTTGAACTGTCAACCTTTTGGTTACCAGCCAGTTGCTTTACTGTTTGCCCTGCCAAGGACTTGCCTGTAAACAGCTCAGAGATAAGGCATTTGCCTCCATTGTATAAATGGGGAAACTGAGGCTCAGAGAGGCAGAGTCATGTGCTGTCATTGGCAGCACGGCTGGGAAGCGGCAGTCTGACTCTCTTACTTTACCTCTGCTCTCTAGGATCTTGCACGCTCTAGAAGAGCTGGGAGCAGTGAGAAGGGGGTCTTTGAGAATTTAGACTTGTGTGTAAGACCTCATGCTTGGACAAGTGGAGGGTCAGAGAAGGAAGGGGAAGACCCTCAGTTAGGTGGGTTGACGCAGTGCTGTAACAGTGGGCTGTAATGTGTCAGAGGTGAGGAGGGCCACACAGGATGGGGCAGGGCTCAGATCTGAGGTTCACAGCGTTGCTCTGAGTTGTGCTTGGCTCAGCGGCACCAGACAACAACAGACCGGTGTGACCGGGCCTCATTTACGTCACCGCCAGCAAGTTGTTCTGTGTGGTTGCCAAGAAGGCAGGTCCAGAAACTGGTCTGCCTGCCTCCGGATCCTGGTTCCAGCACTTCCTGGCTTTAGAACCCTGGGTCCGTACTTGGTGTCTCTGACCTCTTAGCGCCTGTCTCAGAGATCGTTGTGGGAATTAAATGAGTTAACTTGTGCGAAGTGCTTGTTGAGGAGATAGTATGAGCTTGATAAACGTTGGCTTCAAATTGATCAGCATTTAATGGGCTCTCTACTTTGCCCTGGTAAGTCCTGGTGGTGTGGTTTTTAATCATGAAGCTGCCAACAGAAAGGTCAGTGGTTCAAACCCACTAGCTGCTTCTCAGGAGAACAATGTGACAGCCTGATCCCATAAAGATTTACAGCCCCAGAAAGTCCCCGGGGAAGTCCTTCTCTGCCCTGTATGGCTGTTAACAGACTCCACAGCAGAGGAGTGGGTTTTGTTTTTCACTCCGTGCTGCACAAAGTCATTTCCCAAGCCATGTTCCCCGTTATTGCTGGGCTGTGCTGAAGATACAAAGTGGATAGGTCACTTTCCGAACACTAAAATCATTCCCCCCAACTCGAGATACCAGTATAGCAGGAGATCCATGGCCTTGTCCTCCTGTGGGTGGGTCTCCTGTCGGGTGCCTTGGGAGGATGGCATCCTCTGCCAGCCTGTCCTTGCTGACCCTCTGACTAACTTAGACTCACAACCCCACTCTGATTATATTAGAGGATATGGTCAGAAGAGCCTTGGCTTGGCCTGGGTTCAAAGCCCGGCTCCACCACTTAGAAGCTTAGATGGCTTATGTGCCGTGGTGAGCAGAGACACATGATGAGATCTCTGAATTTCGGCCCCCAGCTGCGCAGTGGACATGACCCTGTGACTGTGAGCTTGGGGAGGGAGGCGCGGTGGGGAGCTTCCAGCGCACAGGGGGTGCTGTGTGACCAGCTTCTCGCTCTGTGTTGGGTTGGGGGACCAGGCACTCACAGATAAGGTTAGTGTCAAGAGTGTCAGGGAGGGAGGCAGCAGGTAGAGAGGGGGCCGTGTGCGCACGCCCGCAGAATCAGTGGCCGCCTCATCGTTTAGGTGTGAACTCCGGCAGCGTCCCGTGAAGACATTGGCATTCACCGCTGCGTCCCTGGCATACAGAGGCATTTTGTCTGTGATCTGTACACACATAGCATTCAGAGCACATATTTCTGCTGCTTGCTTTTTTTTCACTCACCAACCCTATGCCTCATTTTCCAACCTGGTGCTCGTGTGCAGGAAGCTTCTGAAAGCCCTTAATTCCACGGCCAGTCCTCCTCCCAGCTGCCAGCCGGGGCCGGCTCTGCTGCTTTGGCATCACGGTCCTGCCTCCGAATGTGTCAAGGGGGCCGAGTCCTCGGGGGCCCGGGATTAGTCTAATGGGACGAGCTTTGGCAGCTCAAGCAGAGATGGTTGCCAGGCTGACGTTGCCTTGCAAAAGCTTTCAAAACAGCCCACATACTGTAGTTCATTCACGTCGTCTGGGCCATTCAGGCGGCGTTAGTGAACACCCACTGTGTGCCTGGCCCTGAGGGGTGAGGGTGAAGGGGAGATGGAAGCTCTTCCCCGCTCGGAGCACACAGTCAGCTGGCACGTGATTCTGAAGGTGGTATGTGCCGTTAAGGAGCTGGAATAGCTTGCCTTTCCTTGCGAGAACTCAGCTGTTTGCCGACTCACCCAAATCTCAGTTTCCTCATCTATTAAATGGGAATATTGCCATTAACAGAGACACCAGTATGCACACCCATAAGGCTGTCAAACTTTAACCAAAAACAAAGCCACTGCTGTGGGTTGTCCGACCCACGGTGAGCCTCCTGCCAGTTTCTGAGCCTGTAAATTTTTACCAGAGGAGATTGCTCACCTTTCTCCCTCAGAGCCGGTAGATTTGAACTGATGACTGTTCAGTTAGCTGATACGTTCCTCACTGTATCCCCAGGGCTCCTGGTTAAGCGTTTAAGCCAAAGCGAAGAAGGTACTTGGAGAATGATAATTGATGTACAGTCTATAAATCAAGGAGGAGACACCAGGGCTTCTCTCCTGTCTGTACACCCCACTCCCACCACCTCCAGGACATCAGTCCCTGTTTTCAGATGGTAAATCTTGAGCAATGCAGTGAGTTTCAGAAGAGGTTCATTTATTCAGCCCGTGATTTACTCAAGCAGCCGAGAGAACTTAGAGGGGCCAGGCACAGTCTAGGTGACGTCCGGATTCAGTCCAGATCCTTGCCCGTGCCACGGTGAAGCTGTGTGTCTCGAGGCAAGTTGCTTGCCCTTTCTGAGCCTCGGCGTGCTCCCCGATAGCATGAGGGTAAAGGATCCTGTAGCCTCACAGCAGTGTGGAGAAGGCTTCTGGGAGAGGACACGGGGCCCTCGTTTAGCATTGCATCTTTATTATTAGTGATGTGCTGGGATTCAAAACTCTCCACTCGTCTGATGCAGCCCACTGAGTAATCCTGACAGGCAGTGTTTTACCTGCAGAGACCAGGTTAGGAAACTGAGGGTTAGAGACATTGTGTGACTGGCTTAAGGTCAGCTTGCTAAAGAAAATGGGAGAGACACGGTCCTCATAAACTGTGACACCCTGCTATGTGTCAGATACTATTCCAGGCCCTGGGGTTAAGCACTAAAGGCCTGCAGGAGCCCCATGGAAATGACATGTGCTGTTATTTGAATCCTGGGATCCCGTGTGGCACAGTGCACCATGTGTTGTGCTGCTTTCCCAAAGGTTGGGGTTCGAATCCACCAGCTGCTTCAAGAGAGAAAGATGGCCAGAGCCTTGTTCGTAAAGGTTTATAGCCATGGAAACCCGCTGGAGGGTCTTATGAGCTGGAATTGACTCAGTGGGGGTGGGTTTGGGTCTTATCCGTCTAACATAGTCTGAGGGTGGCTTAATGGTGAGGCATTGCACTGCCAGCCCGAAGGCAGGCAGTTCAAATCCCCCAGCTGCTGTTTAGGAGAATGATGGGCAGTCTCCTCCCAGGTGGTTTGTAGCCTCTGTAAACCCACTGGAGGGTCAGCTGTGGGTCAGTTCAGACTCCACACGTCACAGCAACATAGTGTGGTGATTCCAGCAGCCTGGGCAAAGCACCTACTGGATTTGCCTTGTTGGAAGCAGATTCTTCCACTTACTAGCTGTGTGACTTTGAACAAGTGATGTAATCCCTCCATGTCTTGCTTCGGGAAGTGGGGAGAATGGTAGCAGCCGTCCCATACTGTGGCCCCCGGGGTTGAGTTGTGCCCCGTGAGGGGCTTGGAACACGTGGATGTGGAAGCAGCCGTGACTTAACCTCCCCTTGGCTTTCTCCCCCGGCAGGCGACGTCTTCATCCTGGTCTTCAGCCTGGATAGCCGGGAGTCCTTCGACGAGGTCAAGCGCCTGCAGAAGCAGATCCTGGAGGTCAAGTCCTGCCTGAAGAACAAGACCAAGGAGGCGGCCGAGCTGCCCATGGTCATCTGTGGCAACAAGAACGACCATGGCGAGCTGTGCCGCCAGGTGCCCAGCACGGAGGCCGAGCTGCTGGTGTCGGGCGATGAGAACTGTGCCTACTTCGAGGTGTCGGCCAAGAAGAACACCAACGTGGACGAGATGTTCTACGTCCTCTTCAGCATGGCCAAGCTGCCGCACGAGATGAGCCCGGCCTTGCACCGCAAGATCTCGGTGCAGTACGGCGATGCCTTCCACCCCCGACCCTTCTGCATGCGCCGCGTGAAGGAGATGGACGCCTACGGCATGGTCTCCCCTTTCGCCCGCCGGCCCAGCGTCAACAGTGACCTCAAGTACATCAAGGCCAAGGTCCTGCGCGAGGGCCAGGCCCGAGAGAGGGACAAATGCACCATCCAGTAGCCAGAGGGACACTGGGCAGGCTTGAGCACTGCCTTAAGGGAAGTGGCCCCAGCTGCCCACCACCTCCATGCCCATCAGCTGTCTTTGTCTGGGAACCCTTGGCTCTGGTTGGAGGACCCTGGCTGCTGACCTCTGCATTCTCCACGTCCTCACTGCTTCCTTGAGCCCTTGTTCCCAGGGATCCAGCTCCCTGCGGTCAGACTTGTTGCTGTAGAGTGGAGACACCTGGCGAGGCTGGACTCAAAGAGTGACTCAGGCTGGGGCCTTCTTGTTCTGGAGTTGAAACAAACTCTGAGAGCTGAGAGGCCAGGATTCCCGCCCTCAAAGAGTGAGCCTCCTGGGACTGACAGGATGAGGGCGGTTGCCCCTCCTGGTGGTAGAGTTATCTTCATCAAGGTGGCAGCTGGGAGAGGCCCCTCCACCCAGACCTAATCCTGAAATGCCTGCCCCCTGATTCGGCCCCCGGCTGACCCTGACACTGAGCCAGTGATTTCTATGTGTTTGAAAGGGATGTAGGCATAGCACTTCCAACTCCTGGACCTCGTCCATCTGTCTCCGAGACCATGCCCCTCTCCTGGGCACACTCGTGTCCCAGACTATGTGTGTCCCCTGCACTCATCCGTATCATAGATCACACCCATTTCCTGGTCATGTCCATCTCCCAGACCCCATCCATGTCTCAGCCCACATCTGTGTCCCGGGACAGCTTCCATACCCATCTCCCAGATGCAGGGATGTCCTGGACACATCCCTGTCCTGGACCTGTCCGTATCTCAGACTTGTCCATCCCCAGACCACATCCACGTTGTCCCTGTACCCCCTTCCCCAGGCCCCTTCCCCTGATGGTGTTACTTTGTTGTTGTTACAGCTGTCTTATGTTGTGTATTGGGCAGAAATGAAAATCGTTGTACTGTAAAAGCCTGTTGGTCCCTGCTGGCCAGATTCAGACCCCCTGCCTGCCCTGCGGATGGATATCTTTCTCTCTGCCCCCAGAGAGGAGGACTCCCGCGTCGGTTGGCAGTATGACAGCGACCCCGAAGCCAGCCTTCTGGTTTATAGAGCACCTGTATGTGCCCGAAGCAGGCAAAGTCCTTCATGTCTCCATTTCACAAAGGAGGAAACCGCCTCGGGGGCAGCCACGTGGCCAGGCTCCTTCCCCTGCCTCCCAGCTAGCTCAGGACAGACAGAACTTCAGTCTGGTCCAGGCTGTCCCCTCTGTGCTCACTCCTCAGACATTTATGAGCACCTGCTGGGTGCTGATCCACTGTGTGCTAGGAAACAAAGAGGCGGGGGGGTGGGGGTGGAGGGTACACGTTGGGTCCCCAGGGCTGAGCCCTTTGCTGGCCCTGGCCCGCTTCTCTTTCCCCACGCCTGGCCTCTGCCCGCTGTGCTGCGTCCCTGCAGCTATGGCAGGAAGGCTGGGCAGAAAAGCCCACAAAGGGTCTTTGCTTTTGCCAGAATCTGCTGGGTACCACCATGCCCTTGGGCGTGATGGGGCTTGAACCTGAAGAGCAGCAGGCCCTCATTATCAGCGCATAACAAATAGCATTTTGTATTTGAATTTCTTTACAAAGATGAATGTTTGGGACCACAGAGAATCTTAGAGCTTACCAAGTGAGTCTTTTCTAAGGCCCAGAGAGGGCAAGCACCTTACCCCGGACCACGCAGCATGTGTGAGTGGCAGAAAGCCAGACCCGGTCTGAGCATTCAGTGCACCTCGGGATGGAGACCCTCTGGCACTTCCTCAGTCCCAGGGGTTGAGGTGTCTTGTCCCTGACCCTCTCCCTGGATGGGCTGGGAGGACTCCTGTAGATAACTGTGTGTCCAGCACCCATGTAAATATAGACGCACACACACATGAACACAGACACATGCCCCAGCCTGGCTCTGGACAACCCCCACCCCAGCCCTGTCCCCTTCACCACACCTGCTACTCAGGCAAAGCCCCATTCCTGCTTCTGTCCCCTGCCCAGCCCCACCTCAACCCCCAGCCGGTCTAGGTTCTTTGACCAAGACAGGTGTGTGGTCTGGTCTTGCCCAGTCACACTGCCATCCTGGAGTCTCTGTGTACACTAGCAATTAAAGTGGGTTTGTTTCTAAGCTGTGTCTACAATGTGTTTTTTCCCCCTGTGTTTCCATGAGAAGGTCGGCCTCTTGCCCGATCAAAGCACTTCTCTCCTCCTCTTCTGTAACCCTGCATGGAGCCAGTCTTCAAGCGTCAATATGAGATAGGGGAAGAAAACCCCCAAATAAGAGGCTCTGCCTGACCCTCTACTCTGGCCTCTGGACCTTCCAGCTGTGTCTGAGTCAGGTCTGGGGCCTGAGCTGTCCCTGCTCCTGGGGTGATTAGATCATGGAGGAGGGGTCCCGGTGGATGGTCAGCCCCTTGGGACACAGAGTGTCTGAGCGCTGCGTGGTTCCTGCTGGAGCTGCACTTTACCCCCCAGGAAACACTGAGGTCTATGGAGACATTTCTGATTGTCATAACAAGAGGCTACCGATTCTGCATTCTCCAGGGCCTCAGGACAGGCCCATAGCAAAGTCGTCCCCAGTGCCACTAGCAAGCAGCCTCAGGTAGTGGAGGCCAGAGACCAGGACACAGACGCTGCTGTGTGGGGTTGACACAGTGCACAGCATCCAGATGGTTCTCCGTGGACGGGGGATATCTGCGTGCGCTCTTGTGCAGCGAATCTGGATGACTGGAAACCGCCAGGTGGGGTAGGGGGAGAGGTACACAGTCTCCAAACACCAGACAGACCACGTTAGGCTGAGTGAGGAGGTCTCCTGGCGGAGAAGGGAGACAGCCCAGCACCTCCTTCGTGGCTGCCTCTCATCTCCAGCCACCCTCTCACTAGCTCCAGGAAGGGCACAGTCACATTCGCTCGTTCAGTGATACATCATGAAGTTTGTCCAAGCTGGCACCATTGGCAAAGGCTGTGCCATCCACGGGAGTGAGAAAAGGATTTTGCATTTGGGAAATAGGAGGGGCATCACAGCCAGATGCTGCAGTGGGAATTCAGAGAGAAGCTGGACATGATGCTTGCTCATGGTCCAGTGGGAGAGACCCCCTGTGATGACATACACGAAGCCCCTAACCTGTCACAGGCCTGGGCTGGGGCTCCAGGCTCTGGTTACCTGGGAACCCAACTCCCATTCAATTTGTCACCCACTCTAACCACCGAAGGCCTGGTGGGCAGAGAGCCTTCTGACGCTTCCCTTGGTCCTGGTTTTTGTAAATGTGGAATGTGGAAGTCAGCATCCCCCCTCAGTCCCGGGCTCCCTTGTGCACCCCAAGAAGCCCTGAGTGTAGGAGGGGCTAGGCTCACTGAGCAAGCTCTCCTCTGCCCCTCTTCCCCCCTCCACGTGGCCCTAAGAGCGTCCTCTCCTGGGCCTCTGTTTCTCCATCTGTAAGTGAGAGTCAGGAGTTTCAGGTGGTACAAGCTGGTAAGGGCTCCGCTGCCACCTGGAAGTTTAGTGATGTGACTCCACACAGAGGTGTAGTGGAAGTAAGGCCTGGCCATCCCAGCCATGAACACCCTGTGGGGTTCGTGAACACCTGATGGACTCCAGTTCAAGGCTGCACACGTGGGGCCTCCGTAAAGCGGAGTCAGCTCAAAGGGCATCTGATAAGATACAGGTGGAAAGGACACCAGCTGGGTCAGATAACACACCAACAGCCCCCTGCAGCCTGACATCTTCCACAAGCGGGAATTAATATTCCGGTTACATAAGTTCAGCATTCTGATCATTACCAAGCGGAATACACGTGCTGCAGCCACGGCCCACGCCCACTCCCTGCAGCACTGCAGCCTGTCCCGCGACTGATTTCACCAGCAACATCTCATCTTGACCTTGGACTGAGAGGAGAATGAGAGGGAGGAAAATTTCCCACGCAAGACCACTCGGGGACCAGTCTAGCCAGCTTTGGCCCCTGGCCCTGGAAGGAGAGCCTTGGGAATCTGATTTCAGAGAATTCTGCCTTGTGAACTCTGCGTACTTGTTCTGTTCCACCTCCCTGAACCTGTCACCTACTCAGGAGAAGAACTTGCGTCTGCGTCACGGCCTGGCGGGGGTTGGCGGGATGCTTGCCAGGGGCTTAGCAGCAAAGGCTGCTGGAAAGGGGAAAGGAAAGGGTGCCAGGGCTTCTAACTGGCTCATTCCAGGTTGACCCCCTGCTAGCGATTTGCATCTGCACTCCAGATATGCTGAATCAGAACCAGAATGTGTTCATGTTGTCAGAAAGGGCCCGGAGGCCAGAAAGCAGGAGGCCATCGTGCTTGGAAAGGTAGAAGGTGGTAAAAGAGAGATGAATTGACACAGTGATAGTGACAAAGGGCTTGATTAAACAGAATGTGAGGACAGCACGGGACCGGGCTCGGTTTCATTGTGTCTTTTGTGGATGATGGGAGATATAGAGTCACTTCTGAGCCAGAGCTGAACGGCAGCATCTTACAACATCCACCTGGGAGTCTTGTTAACATGTAGATTCAGATTCAATACATCTGAAGGCAAATTCTCAGCGGGGAACAGAACTGGAATGAGCCTGTTCAGAGCCCTGAAGGGAGTTGACCTTTGCTGAAGACCTTTTACACACCTAGCGTGATTCTGGCCTTGTGCTGCCTCCCGTCATGATGCCCCCAGGGAAAGGATGATGGATACCTTTAACCCACAAAGGCCCTGACCTTCAGAGAGGCAAAGTCATCCGTGGGCGTTCCTGCCTCAGCTGATGGAGAAGCAGCTCTCTAGAGGAAGGGTCAGGGTGCAGTGTCTGCACATGGGTCAGAGGAAAGTAAAACCCCAAAGCCAGCCAGTCAGTCACTGTCGAGTTGATACTGACCCATGGTGACCCCCATGACCCGTTGTGTCAGCGTATAACTGTCTTTTATAGGCTTTCCAAGGAGGGTGGTGATTTTTCACAAGTACGGCGAGCTCTGGTGGCCTAGTGGCAAGAAGCTGCAGTGTAATCCCAGAGGTGAGCAGCAGTTCGAATCCACCAGATGCTCTGCTGGAGAAGGAGGGACAATCTCCTGTACCAGTCAGGTCCAGTTTGATAGTACACA